TATATACATTTTTGAATTATAATGGTAATTAAAAACAAAAAAATGTAATATGGAGATCAGAATTTTAATAAGAGGAAGAAAGCAGAAACTTTTTCAATTTCGATTTGAATTTTGGAAGATTATTATATATTTTAACTCCTAAATGAAATATTGATTTCTTCCCAAACTTCGAGTGATATGATTTAACTAGTAGTTTTTTTGCTTGTCTTGTATTATGTTCATGGATGGTATTTATTTGATTGAATCCCAAATTAGTTGTTTTACGGATTTCAAATAATTTTATAGATTAGACAATGGAAGTCCGAACTGGTGAAATTCATTTTAATATGTTTTGGCATGAATTTAATGAGGGAAAAATATAGCAAAGTATGCAATGTATGCATATTATGTGAAATGAAATATATTTCACGTTTACCTTCAATATGTGTTATAATTGTTTTTATATTGTGATTTCGTTTTCAAACATCAAATGCGTACCGTTGATGTGATTTGATCATTTCTACAAGAAACAAGTATTCATTCTTTCAATGCACTGGTCACATATTACTTTTATGAAAGAATACCCAGATAATGTAAGGATTAAATCTAGCCAAGTCAACTTTATGATGAAGGTAGATTGATAAATGTAGATTTAGACAACAAAGTCTGCAATGTTTTCACCTTTTTTGTGAACTTGACTAATTATCTGAGAAAATGACAGAGTTCCATGTATGGACAAATGAAATAGAGAGTGCATCCATAAGAATAAACCTTACAGAAATTCTCTATTACCCTCATCAGTTTTAATCACAATAAGATACTTTGTTTTGTGACGCCTATATGAGATTTCAGTTTGTATAAGATTTATTTTTATGAAATGTATTGTACTTCCAAAAAAATTATCTTGCATCAAATTATAAACAATATATTTTTATAACACATAATCAGGTGATGAATATGCCTTTTCATAACAGTTTAATGTACATATTATTCAAGGTAGGAGTTTTTAAGTTGATTATGTCTGACTGAATCGGTGTTGGAAATAGCTTATTATTTGATTTGGCCTGATGAATAAAATGTGGTTAAAGCTTACTCTATTGTCTTGTATCTATATAATGAAATATACATTTTCAGTAACAATTCCTAACTATATTAAAAGAACGTAATTCTATGCCTTAACGTTATTTATCAGGCTGGTTTATATAAACAGCCTAAATTAGTGGTCAGAACCGGTATTGTCTTTAAGGAGCGCATGTGATTTATAGTTATTTCAGTTTATATTAGTTAAGTGGTAACCGTACTTTAATTTGGTACCTAGATGTATTAAGAATTACTTTGAAGTAGGCTAATATTTTTTATGAACGTTATAGGTTTTGTACATTGTATAGTGTAAGTAGATCAATAAAAGTGGTCGCCATCTAGAAGTACGAACACCACAGCTTGAGGAAGCAGTACTTAATTTGATTGAAGAACAACCTACTACCAGTACTAGAAAGATTGCTTTCCAGCTAAATGTTGATCATATGACGGTATTTCGAATTTTAAAAGAACAACTCTTATACCCTTACCATCTGCAACGAGTACAGGCACTGTTACAGCGAGACTTTCCAAACCGCCTTGAATTTTGCAATTGGATGCTGGAAATGGTTAGAAGAAATTGTGACTGTCTGAAGACGATAGAATTCACAGACGAATGTCGTTTTTCTCGGGACAAGATTATTAATTTTCATAATTACCACATATGGGCTGATGAAAACTCTCACGCTGTTGTCGAAACCAACCATCAAGAACAGTGTTCTCTTAACGTGTGGCTCGGAGTTATTGGGGATGATATAAGTGGGCCTCATTTTCTACCTCCTCGATTAAATGGTGAGGCATACGATTAAATGGTGAGTACATCCAGTACTGCTGGATGTACTCACCATTGGGCGTCAGAAGGGATGTTTTTTATGCATGATGGGGCTCCCGCCCATTTTATTCAAGTAGCACGTCAGCATTTAACTGAAACATATGCAAATCAGTGGATTGGTCTAGGAGGACCACAGAACTGGCCCAGGAATATTTGAGCGAATACGTGGCTCAATGCGCCGACGTCTAGACGCATGCGTAATGTCTGAAGGTTTTTTTTTCTTTACCTTGGGAGCTGTCTGACTTGTCCATTTAGTCCAAGTCTCCAGGAAACACTGCAGCCTCTTGGGCTTATTGCGTTTGTTTTCCCATCTTCTCATGACATCCATTCCATCAGTCTCGTTCCCTGTACTAGTTTGTATAGGTTCCGTGTTGGATGTTCGTCATATTCTTCTGGACGTAATTTCATACGTCCATATATTGCCTGCCTCCTGTGGTTCAGTGCATCACATTCGCATAAGATGTGTAGAGCTGTTTCTATCTCTTTGTTGCATAATCTGCAGCTGAGGTCTCCATTGTACAGCCCCATTTTATTCAGGTGTTCTCTGAGCGGACAATGACCGGTTAGTAACCCTGTAATTATTCTGAGCCGATCCCTAGTATATTGAAGTAGTTCTTCGGTTCTTTTCTCGGACGGTTCCCCAATGAAGGTTCTACTGTGTTTGTTGCCAGGTACTTTTGTCCAGTACTCTGTGTGTTTCTTATTGGTCCATATCCTAATCTGGTTTCGTACCAGTGATTTTGATACCCCCAGAGCTGGTTCAGGACATATATATGAAGTTGATGATCCGCGTCTAGCGCATTCATCAGCTTTATCATTACCTGTGATTCCTGAATGCCCTGGCACCCAGTACAAAGTTAATTTGTTTCTGTTTGCAAGTTCATTCAGTTCTTCATGGCATTCCCAGACCAGTTTTGATGTCACCTTCGGGTTTGTCAGAGCCCCTAGTGCGCTCTTGCTGTCTGTAAAAATATTGATCCGCTCATTTCTTTGAGGTCTCAATTTATTAAGCCTTGCACACTGCAAGATAGCATACACTTCCGCCTGAAATACGGATGTGTATAGTCCTAGCGGATAGCTGTAGTTTAGATTTCTATCCGCTCGGTATATTCCAGCATGCTCCAAACATGCTCTGCTATTCTTGATTTGCTGGTTTCTCCTCTCTGTGTGTTTTTCTTGTGCTCGGCATTGCGGATTTTCAATAGCCTCTTAGTTTCACCGATACAGGATTTGTGAATATGATCTGTGATTTGTGAGTGCGGAAAATCCAGATAGAAATTTTATTTATTTTTTTCGTTTATCGTATGAGTACCAGTAGCTACAATTTCAACCACTCATGTAAATCATTCTATACTCAGATCTCTTCAAATAATGATTATTTTCTTTGCAAAAAATACTGCTGTAATTTCTCATTGATCAGACAATTGTAATAGAAATAACTCAATAGCCATTTTTTCAGATATTATAAGAATGTCAATGTCATTTCCTGAGAATAGTACAGCGAACGTGTCACGAGAGGCAGCACTAGTAGTAGGGACAAACATAAACTTTTCACATGTAAACGAAACAAACGTCCTTCAACATCAGCAATAGATTCTCTGTGCAGTCCGCTCCAAAAATAAAAAAAAAGGAAAGATGTTAACGCAGAGTCTTCAAAACCAATCCAGCTAAATGATACTCAAGATGTTCCATTAGATAACTATTTAACTCCTGAACTCACTGAATCACCGCCCAGTAAACTCCTGAACTCACTGAATCACCGCCCAGTAATGGAGAACACGTCAATAAATCCGTAGCTCATGCAGAAAGTCAAACTTGTATGGAAGTTGAAAATATTTTTGTAATAAAATTACAGAAGATTGAAAAAATTACAAAAAAACTAAGTACATCTACTCTCAATCATGAATCATTTATGAATGAGAGTGAAAAATTTAAATTTTATACAGGCTTAATGCCAGAAGATTTTGATATTGTGTGGAATTTCTTAGGTCCGCCAACGGAATCATCAGTGATAATGTGGCATTCAAGATCAGAAACTAATAAACACATAACGATAAAACAATTTAAAGCATTATCTTTGAAGAATCAACTGTTTTTAACCGTTGTAAAATTAAGATGTGGTTTTTTATTGTATGATTTGAGTTGCCGGTTTGGTATCAGTATGAGCTTATTTCAAAACAACATGGATACAACTAATGTATTGTAACTTTAAACCACTGAGTCATTTTCCATCAGCAAAAGATGTCAGTAAGAACTTACCACAAGCCTTTAAGAAATTTAAAAATGTACGAGTAATTATTGAATTGTTTTGAATGGAATATGGAAAAGCAGAAAAATTTTAATCGATAAGGAAATACGTATTCAAGTTACAAATCCCATAACACAGTAAAGTTTTTGATTGGAATCATACCTACCGGACGGTGTTGCTTTCTTTCAGACGATTTCGAGGGACACATGAAAGTGATAGGAGTATCACCGAGAAAAGTGGATTTTTTAAAACTCTAGAGAAAGGTGACTCAATATTGGCAGATCGCGGTTTTAACATTGAAGATTTATGTAATAAATATAAATGTACTGTATTAATGCCACCGTTTTTGAAATTGAGAAAAAAGTACAAAAAATGAAGTTGAGAGGGCAAGAGAAATTGCTTCGGCTTGAATACACGTGGAACGATTCAGTGGTCGAATGAAACAGTTTAGAATAATGCAAAGAATTATACCTAAAAATTTATTGCCTATTGTATCACAAATTGTTTCTGTAATTGCAATGTTAGTGAACTTTCAAGAGCCACTTGTAACTTAAATATTTCAATAAAATTTATTAAAATAACAATAACACTATTATTATTTTGTTTTCTTTGATTAGTTCAGTCAGCACAGCATCATTAGCCATACATTTTTGAATATTTTTAAACAAGAACCAATCATAAAACATTTATAGTAATAACATACACATTTATCATCCCATTATTAAAAATCTGAAAACCAATAATTGTACTTTCTACTGAACTCAATATGTCCATCACAAACAGTGGTAACTTTCGTGGTAGCCTCATCTCAAAAAATTCTATTGCTAAGACATTATGAACTTTGCATAACTTAGTTGTTAGAGCATTTATAAAAGTTTCATCTCGAGAAATCCTCTCGACTACGAAACCATTGTTTGGTGTCCAGACGATAAAATTACAAAATTTCGATTCCAAAATAGCTAACGTTAGCTGAATTTGGTAGTAAGCATGATTCCTTTTTAACGTAATTTGATTATTTTTAATGGTATAGCACATATTACTTTGATCTTTGATTTCAGCTAAAGTTAAGGGTGAGCAAATTTTCAACTGGTAAGGACACTTTACTTCAATACAGTAGAGAAGTTGATTATTTTCAAAAATGAAGCCATCTGGGTTACAACCAAGACCTGGGAACCGACCATTAACAATCAATCCTGGCGAAACGTCGTGAATTACGTGACTTGGAATCTCTCAACTTTTTATTTTCTTTTTTCATTTCTTTATTTTTATTTATTTTTGTTCAATTGTTCTATTTTTACTTGTATTTTATTTCACTATTATTTCATTTCAGGATTATTTTGCTTAATATAATTGTTATTTTCAGCTATTCATTTTTAATTCTTCTTGTTGTTGTTTCAGGGATTTCAAATCTTTTTATATAGCAGTCAATGGAAGTCCGAACTAGTGAAATTCAGAAGTAAGGTATTCTTGTATTGCAGTTGATTCATTATCTCTACCGTAAGCAATCGCAGGCAAGTGACTTATATCTTTTGTTTCTTGCCATAACTTTATATTTATCAAATTTGTTAAATCTTTGCTTGTATAAAATGACTTACAGTCTTATGCAGTGATTCGGTATCTGCGTGCATTGAGCCATGCCGGACTATTTTGTTCCACCTCAATTTCAAACGGACCAAGCGATGATGAGCTTAAATTTGTTTGAAACTCTGCAATTTTGAATTTTTAATTAAATTTTTGATCACAGTCTAAATGATAATCATTATAATGTAGGTATTTGCAATAAGTCAGTCCACACTGATTATTTAGTTTTGTTGTAAGCGTTGGATAAAGTGTGTTGTCATTATTTCAGCATTCAAAGAACATCTTAGGTACGACTGTGCGTTGAAGTTAATTACTTTTTTTTATTAGCCTCATTACTTTTTTTTTTCGCTTTTCACTTGGATTGTTTGTAGATTTAGCTTTTTTATATTCAGCAGTGATGATACTTGATGGATTGTTTCCAGTTTTGCGACCCTGGTTCCATTCTTTGATTTTAGAAGTACAAGTTAACGGTTTAACCCAGATATGCCTGATTTATTTTTTTTTGTTTTTTTTTCAACATTACTGCTTTAATGTTAACAATTTACCTTCCTTAAGTCAAGAAAAACACATTTCGTTTATTTTTTAGTANTATATATATATATATATATATATATATATATATATATATATATATATATATATATATATATATATATATATATCTACTTATAGGATCGAAAAATACTCACCCCGTTAGTCGAAGGTCAATGGGATAATCCATTTTTTAATGGCAATACCTTTTAAAATTACGAAACGCACAGCACAACACACGCGCAATTCTAATAACTTATAAACCTTCAATCACATCTTCTACGATGCAATACCAAGCGCCATCTCATTTAAACAACCGAAAGTATGAAAATAAAATGATTATAGGTGGTTGTAACAGGTCCTTATTTAAGGACAATCGGTATATCTGGGTTAAAACCATGTTGAAGCGTATATTCTTCTAGTTTAAAAAGTAGTGCGACAATATGAGAGCAGTTTAACGATTCTGATGCTGGACATTGACATGCAGCATTTTTTACTTTTCCATCATCCATCCATCAGACCTATTACAACGTCGTAAATTGTAGTTTTAAAAGATGATTGGATTTTTACCCTTAAATAATAAATATTTTTACAACAATTATCCTGCAAATCTTTTATAAGATCACTAATACAGTACAGTCGACCACATTGAATGGCTTTTGAATTACCACAGACAGGCATTATATCATCATCCAGTTCTTGATCATCGTCATCGCTCTCCTGTAAATTTTTACTTTGTGTAATATACTCATGTATTATACCGTAACAAAATGAACGGGGAATCTGTTTTGATGAAAAAGTTTGCCAATTATCATTAGGATAGAAAGTAGTAGGGATGGTTAATGTTGTAGAAGAATCTAATGGCACTGTTGATCCAGATGTAGATGCTGAAGTAACTGTTAAAGCTGCTTGCAAACATTGTTTTTTCTTCATTAACCATATTCCTTTATCGACACCTTCAAAAATAACTCCTGCTCTTCCGTTATTTATACAATCGTAGACCCTAATGCATACCAATAAAATATTACTGAAATATTAAATACTAACTAACTAACAGATAAACTGATCAGAGTCATCATTTACATATAAAAAAAGGTTCAAGTTCAGTAATACATTAAGATACATTTATATGTGCCTTCAAATGTTTAATGGTTGAAGACAAATTATATGCAATGTGGGTTTCATAACGAAACCGCTGTCATAGCTTGAAAAAGGGTCACAATGATACTGCTGAGACGCAAAGGGTTAAAAATTCCCTAAGAATTACAGAAAAATTTAATCGAATAAAAATAGATCTTTTATTCATAATTCAGGTCATTTGTGTAAACAGTTTTTAAGGTACTCACGAATACTTCACAACTATGTCATATTTTTATAAATGAAAAATATTGTGATAAATTTAATTGACATCAACAGTTAAAATAAATCACGATAAACAAATATGTTTCTGAATATAATAAATACAGTATGTTACATATATAAGGCACTAATCTAGAAATGTAATATTTCTCTTCGTTTCAACTGATGGATGATCGCAGACTACCTTCCCAAGCATCCTGTTCATTTTTTTTGACTAGCTTCTTCATTTCTGAAATAAACAATTCAATTTATACAAAAAAATTACACAAATCTACCAAAAAAGTTTTTTAAAAAATCTGTACACGAAGTTCTGAATTAGTATCCTTACCCCGAGCAGCTCTCAGGTCATCCCTTTCTCTGGCACTCTTTTCTCTGCTAATACTACTCTTCTGTCCCAGATGAGACGTAATCAATCGTCTAGCAGTTTGCAGATTAGTTGGAGGTCTTTTCATCGCCGGTTTCAAGTCGCTTTGATATGCTGTCGCAAGAGATACTCGACTAGCTGCTGCCATGGGTCGAACTTTGATAAGTGAGTTACTCAAATTCACAGCCTTTTGAGCTAAAAAAAAACTTACATACAGTGTGTACAAAAATAATTTATATGCAGGTTATTATTCATCATTATTAATTTCAATCTCCAATAATATTATCACATTCTGGTAAAAATTCTGTTTCCGTAAAATTCTGTTTCTGTTAACCAGCTATCGCCTCCCTACGAACGACAACTCTCAAAAGTCGAAACTTGTGCGAGCTAAGGACTAACGAGGTCTAACCGTTTAACGTGTTATTCCTAACACGGGTTGGAATCCGGTCTGAAGTCCGGTTCACACAGTGGTTGATTGAGTGAGTGGAGCAAAGCACCCACGTTGAACCGCCCGGCTATCGTCCTACTATTCTAATTTATCTGATCAGTCTAAAATGTTTTATTGAGATTTGAAAGTTAAGAATAATGTAAATATATTTAGCATTTGAACTAAAAGAAAAATGAAAACTAATGTGGAAGAAATCACAGAAAATTATCGAAGTGACGAGAACATACATTTACTTTATGTGAAATCAAAAAATTCCTGTTATTTTCTGAACATATATATGCAAATGTGCGCCTGGTTTTTGTTAGTGTCACCGATTATATGTGTTGTTTCCTGTTTTCGGCAATCGGATATTTCCCACTTCTGCGCTCAACTGCTTCGCTTTGATGAGACCAATAAGCCAGACACACATCCTAAGTTTGCCCTTCTTTATGGGAGTGTTGTGCGGTTATGTCAACGATTTCTATTCTCTTTGATGTAGATCATATATACTCTATATATAAACACACGCGCACCAACTCACATACACCCACCCACTGGCATCAACACGCGTGAGCCCGCACAGGCGTCAAAACGCATATGCACGCATCAACAGGCGCACGTATCAATACGTGCATACACACACACATTAGTGCGCAGGTTGATGAGGTATGTGCACTAGTGTCTCTGATAAAACTCAAAGCATAATTCTTTAAAAAAGTAGGTACTGATAATTTCATTATTCAGAACACTAAGCCACATTTTTTTTGAAAATTGTTAACTCTTTGTGAATATTCATTTTCTTGTAGCCAGTGATTGTATAAATATCTAGTTTATCATTCATTATTTGCAAATCTACTCTCGACTCACCATACTTTTTTGCAAATTTCATTATCCTGTTAAAATTTTGTGAGTAGCTATTTCCAAAAAAATATCCAGTTGAAGTGTGTCAAACAAATATTGGACTTCTCTGACTCTGTAGGGCTGCAATTTATTTTTGTCAAAAATTGTTCTCATTGATATGCCCCGTGCTAGAAATCGCACGTTAAAATGTAAGACCTCGTTAATCCTTAGCCCGCACATGTTTCGATTTCTGGGGGTTATCGTTCGTAACAGATAATTTTTTCAGCAAATATGGTGGATATATGCTGTCTGTTCAAAAAATAGGGTAAATTTTTTTCAAAAAATATTTATTTATTAATCAATTTCTATTTTATCCCCTCCAGATACAATATACTTGTGCCAGCGTTTTTTCAAATTCTCCAAGTTGTTCTGATATGCACTTTTTGGTATGTCAGCGGTTCGGTTTTTATCTCCTCAATCGTCGCAAAACGCCGTCTTTTCATGGGTCTCTTCAATCTTGGGAACAGAAAAAGTCGCAGAGGGGCAAATCTGGTAAATACGGTGGCCGAGTCATGATTACAGTGATGTTTTCGGCCAATGAATTACGAATAAGCAATGACGAGTGAGCAGGTGCATTATCGTGATGCTAAAGCTATGAATTGTTTTTCCACAATACCGGACGGTATTGTGGAACATGCTAAACAGCTGACACTGTGAACATATGTTCGAGACGAGTGTCCAGCATACGAAAATAAAAATCGCGAATGTACGTAGTGCACGAAATTTTAACGTTCGCCTTATTTTTTGAACAGACCTCTTAAATGGTAATGAATCGATTTCTTTTTTCAACAGTTACAAAGAAAATCACAACGATGTTTACAAATTACATCATTAGATAGCTTCAGTGATTCACACAAAATTACTACAATTTCCTATACGATTCTCACTAACAATATGTTCACAAAACTGCGACACGTGTTTCGGCATACAATAGGTTCCTCAAACAGGATACATCTTTTTTATCCTGCTTAAGGAAGTTATTGTATTGTGAAAACACTTGTCGCCGTTTTGTAAATCCATTGTTAGTGAGAATCATATAGCAGCACAGATCTGTATTTATCAATGCATTCATGATTTTCAAATAAAAGAAAACTATTTAATTTATTATCATCGTTTCGCTTACCTTGTGAAAGGGATCCTAAAACGAGTATCGCATGAGTATCGTCCACCCATTTGACGTACATTGCATCACTTTTGATATCATTGAAAGCCTGGATTATATCGTGAGTTTCAAAACTCGACGGGAAATCGTAAAGTTCTACCATGTGTTCAAGCTCTTCGATTTGCTTGCACATATAATCCGAATAGTCTTCTTTAGCTTTGACAATCGTCACCTCACTCCCCACTTTGTGAATAATCTAAAAATAAATTGATAAACAGGTTTTCTCACTAGTGGTCAATTGTAGATTTCCCTCATTAAGGAATGTAATGCTATGTAGGTTGTTTTGAAAAAATCCAACAGTTATTTTCTGACAATATAGAAGCAAGTCAATATAAAAAAAAACTCAGAAGATTACCAGAGTACAGAAAACCTAAAACTGAAAGCTAAAATTGCCAGCAACGCTTTTATTCGAACAAAACCTTGGTGAAAAATGGAGCGGGTCTCATACCTAAAAAAGAAAGAAATAGCTATATGCCACAAGAACTTAAAAAAAGTAGCTTCATCCAAAGCATTCAATGTTCTCAGTTTTGAAGGCAGAAGTTTCGATTTCATTTTATTTTTCAATGTATCTGTCTGGATTATGTGCTATTATAAATAATTCACTGAATTTCATTTCATAATATAATTGAATTCTGCACAAAATAATATTAGAAATTATCCTTCTTAAACTCTCTTCAAAGGCGATTGCAAAAATAAAAAGACAGCTAATATGAATGGGGTCTCTCCCTATAGGATGCCAACTTAATAGTGGATGCATTTGTTCTTGTGATGCAGTTTGGAACCTTTGGTGTAGTAATGAATATTATTGGAGTTTTTTCCTAATACAAAACCGTTATTTTAACCTCTCGACACGTGTTTCGATCACCAAATGATCGTCTTCAGGAGGAAGATTAAAAGATTAAAGAAATTTGAGGTGTTTAAATAACGATTTGGTGTTAGGAAAAAACTCCAGTAACATTCGATGAATTTGTTGTTAAGGGTACTCTCAGTTTCTAACTGCGAATAACTCCTGCACTGATAACGGTGTTTGTTCAAATATTTCTCAACAGAATCTCTCTAGTTTGAATGTGGTTGACAATGTTTCATGATGAATTTCATTAGTTAGGACTTCCATTGTCTAATATGATATAAATTGATTTGAAATCCCTGAAATAATATAAGAGAATGACATAGGTGTAGCTAGGAGTTTATGTCCACCATAGAGAAATATTTTCCAAGTCTTCAAAATATCGAATATATTAATGAAATATACTGTTTTTATTATTTTCACCTAAAGAAAAATATCTACTATAATTTGGCTCATAAACAATGACACTTAATATGTGACACTCACACAAACGAAATTAAAATAGAATTAAAGAACACTTATTATGTGACCAATGGTCATTTATTATTTCCAAAAATGCATTACTGTACAGTTTATAACGGCGGTACTTTGTATACAGTGAATGGACGATCTTAAGTGAGGATTCACATCACTTATGTATTTGTCTTATTAGATTAGTAAAGATGAAACCTTGCGGTGACTGTTCGTTTCGATAGCTGCCACCAAAAGTTTTCAATACTATAAAATCTGTTAAACAAAACTCTTACCCCTAAGTGCTGCTATATTAATTAAAGTTTATCCAAATTATACTCACTGAATTGTTAATAAATTTCGAAAGGATGGTGAATAAACCAATGTATTCGAAAATCACTCTTTAATGTGAGATTTCCATTTAAAAGTTTACAAAACCGCGAAACCGTGTTTCGCTATACGATAGCATCTTCGGACGTCACAATACTGTGACTTAGAATGGCGGTACTTTGTACAAAGGGAGTGAATGGATGTTCTTATTGTGAGGCTTCACTTATGTATTTGTCTTATCAGATTAGTAAAGTATTGTAATGTCCGAAGATGTTATCGACGTTATGGAATACAAAACGGGCCAAACCCAAAAATATGGGTCATTTCTATAATATTTTTGAATAAACCAAGGTAATCTCAAGTAGCAACTTTTGAGAGTTACATATAAATATTTAGAAATGAAAGTTAATCTGAAATATTTGAAATTTTAAGATTCCCCACTAAAAATAACGGTAAAAATTATATTATTTATAGAAAAATAAAAGGTGAAATTCAATTTGCATGAATATAAGTCATCAACCACTTGCTCTACCACTTAACCTCAAAAATGTCGCAGAATGCGTGAAGGAGTAAACAAGAAAATGGAAGAATTTTGAAATATGAATATTTGTGCCATCAAAGGATTAGGGACAGTAAAACATTTTTTTTTTTGAAATTGGTACAGAAATGGTTGGGTTCGGTTCATAAATTTTAATTTGCTCGGAAAAGTCATTTTGAATTGCAGATCATGATAACTGAAACTTTAATGAAAAAACACTGTGCTGAAGGATGGAGGAGTTAGTCGGCCTTCATACTTTATATTATGGTTATGCAAATCAGTCCGAAAAAGGATTTTTCTGTGTAAGTTAAAAGGTACTTTTAAATTATTTTATAAAACAGGTTTCAGCATGTAACACTTTCCTATATCATTAATGTTCAACTAGCTAATATCTCGATGATATTATCTATCATATCTGACGAGAAATTATGGAATGTGTCGTCTGTATGAAAATGTATATTACAAAATTTTAGACTTTTAACAAGTGCGATGGAAAACAGATACAAGATGGAACAAATACTGCCATCTGCAGTAACTTTTTGTTGACATGAATTGATAACATCAAACTGAAGTAGACAATATCGAGCACTCTACCAAAAATCAAGAACTCACACTGTATTATTGTTTGCGTCATGTGCTCCAATAAAATTGTCCACTATATACAATAAAACAGTTGTGCCTTTTGTGAAATCTAGTATGAGTTATTGGAAATATATACAGTGTGTCAATTTGAAAACTTCCCACCCTCAATATCTCCCTTCCAGTACATAATATGAAAAAATGGTCAGACAGGTCAACTTTATTTGCAAGGGGGACACTCTGAATGAATATTTTCAACCCTCGGGGTTCAACCCCCTAGGAGGGGTGGATGTTACCCTCAGAATTTCAAATGGAAAGGGGGGTCAAGTGGCACATCATTTTGAAGGGCATTCAATTC